CTTTTAAAAATTCGAGGCTTTTCCATGATTTCCCTGATTTCCAGAAGTCTTTTAAAAATTCCATACTATTTTCATGATTTTCCAGATTCTGTAGGAACCCTGCTTTTGTCTGACTTTCTTCTAAATTATCGAATTCAGTGATTTCTGGGGAGAATTTGGTTGAGTTGTAAAATGATTAATTCCTATTTGAATTCGTTTTTTTTTTAATGTAGAAAATCTGATGTTAATTTAATTCTTTTTTTGTTATGAAATTTTTCAGTGCTTCAATTAATACTTTCGTTATTCTAGAGAAACTTATCGCTATTTCAAGTAAAACTTTTTTCAGTGTGTAATAATTATTATTTCTTTGAAAAGTATTTAATTTAAAATGGCTTTATAAAATAAGCAATGCAAAAGATGACCCAGATACTAATTGTAATTGTTCTAGCCATAGTTTAAGTCTAGTAATGTAAATTCTATTTAAATTGAGACCATTGAGTGAAATTATTTAAATTTTAGTTAGTAAATCTCTTTGTTAGGTTATAATAATTATTTCTTTAAAATTTTTGAAATTGTTTAAAATAAGCAGCCTCATACAACATTCCCGCGCGGATAGTTTGGCTAGTGTTTTTATAAAACTTGTTAGTGAATATAGTTTTTCCAAAAATGAAATTATCAAATAAATATTTTTGCAAAATTGTTGATCAAGAAATATTGTAAAAAAATTTTGGTATAACAATTTGAATGGGAAACTATGTTTTAAAAATCCCTGAAACTAGTTAGTTTCAAAATTTAACTGAAGTTCGCAACGATTTTAAAGTAACAACTATTTTTTTGAAATATTTACTCGCATAAAAATTAGAAATTAAATATTTTAAAAAAAGTGATATTATATTCGACATTTTAAATTTAGATAATTTAAGATTTATAAATCCTGGCATCAGATTTTCTAAATTAATCTCGAATCTCAAGATTTGATAAAGAATGTTGTTATATACTTTAAATTTGAAAATAATTAAAGATTTAATTCTAATTAGTTTCATATTTAACTGCTTCAAATTAGTTAGAAATAACAGCGCAATAAGTACTACAACATTCCTAAGCGGATAATTTTGCTAGTTATGTACATGTTGCTAATTAAATATAATTTATATTAAAAAATTAAATACAGATGATATGAAATAAAAAAAATTAAATATTCAATTAATTATTTACATTTAAGAAATATTTCATTATTATTAATAACATTAATAATTAAACAAGTTATAATGTTGAAATTTAGTTCACACAATTTTATTTTTTGTAAGTTTTATTCATCATATTTATTTAAACTTAAGTAGAAATAATGAAAAAAACTTTTGTCTACTGAATAATTAAAATGTTTAATATATATGGAAGCATCTCTAGGAAGAGGATTTTTTCTCACTTATCAACTCTTTTAAATAACACTTTAAAACCTCACCCAAAAGAATTTAATTTTCTTCCTTCGCTTATTTTTCCACTTTTAGAATTTCTGAATCCCTCCTCTTTTTTTCACCTAGTTAAATATTTCCCTATCAAGATGCTTTGATGCTTTTGAATGTTATTTACTTTATTTTACTTTCATAAATTATAGGATCAATTTAATTTTGGTTACACATCTTTAGACGATTTTAAATATTTACTGAAGTACGTTAAATATTTATTTAATCAAAACATTATTTTAATTCTTTACACAAATTTTTACTAAATTTTGCATTTAAATTTTCCAAGAATTGTAAGTACATATTTAATAAATTTTCAAAAAATGTCCAGTGCTGTGGGATCAATTAATAAATTTATTTCTAAATTAATTATATATTCAGTCCGTGAGAAATTAAAGAAAAAAATAAAAAATGTAGATTAAAAGAAGGTTCTAATTAAATTATAATTTCTTTTCTCGCACCTATAATCATTTTTATGAGGGTTTACTTGAAGATTATTTTTCATTTCTCGCGAGTATAAATGTCGCCATAACAAGATGGAAATTAAATTGCACGGGTATTTTGTTCCAAAGTATAAATTTATTAATATTTTCTTTTTCCTCCTTTTTATTGAGGGAAAATTAAATTCCCTTTAAAAAAAGGAAATGAAAGTAAAAAAAAATAAAAAAAAATTCAACAGCATTCTTACCGCTAACAGTGTTAAATCGAGCATAAAAATCGAATCACGTGTCTTCCTTTACAGATCTTATTCCACTTCCTTCTATTGATCGTGACCTGAATATATTTTAATTGAACTTCCTGTATCTTCCTTAGTTATTCCATTATTTTGAATTAAATAAATAAAATTCACAAATTCGATAAAATTACATATAAAAATTTTATCATTTTAATTATTATTTAATCATTTCATTTTTAAATTTTTATTAAAATTTTATTTATTATCAAAAGATTTTAATTGCAATTTTCCAATAGACTAATTTACTTTCATAATTTCTAAATTAATTCATTCAAAGCTTGAATAATTTTTGTTAAATATATATTTACCTATTTATTTCTCCTCAGAAATTAATATTTTAAATAATTCCAATGTAAAACTTTTTTGAAATTTAATTCTTTTAACAAATTACAACTGTATAATTGTTTTAAAATTTAATCGTTTATTTTGAAATTTTTAAATAAAATTATTCAAAACTTTAATAATTCTTTTTGAAATTAATAAATAATTATTTTTTTATGTTAGTATTTGAAAATTATTTCATTTTTAGAAAAATTAAAAATTTCAAAGTCAGTCAATTTAGAAATCTTTTAAAATTTAATTATTTCTAAAAATTCATATTTTAACGCTTCTAATATTCAATTATTTTCTGAAATTTGAACTGAAATTCATTTTTAAATTAATTTTTGTTAGAAACTTCTACGAGATTCAATTATTTGAATACAAAAATAAATAATATACTAATTGATTATTTCTTAAAATCGAATTTTTATAAAGTATTTTAGCAAAATTTAAGAAAGTAATTGAATTCTTCTTTCAGAGAATTATAATAAAATTTTTAAGAATAATTGCATTTTTCGAGAAACTTATTTATAATTGTATTCAAAATAATTGAAATCCTGATAAGAATTTGATTATTTATAAAAATAATTGAATTTTTACTAAGAATTTTATTAACATTTTTTAAATAATTGAATTGCTACGAAGAATTTTATTATTTGTGAAAATAATTGAATGCTTGCAAAGAATATTATTAATTTTTTTTATATAATTGAATTTCTGTGTATTTATAAGAATTTTATTATTTGAATAAATAATTGAATTTTTGCAAAGAATTGTATTAAAATTTTTCCAAGGATTTTCGTTAAAATTGTATTAAAAATATATATGAATTCTTATAATAATAAATTTTATTAAAATCCTTAAAAATAATTGACTTCTTCTGAAAAATTTAAAAAAAAATTTTTTGAAATTATTTATTTCTTTCAAAAACTTGTATAAAATTTGAATTTCTGTAAAAATGTTATTACCTATTTATGAAAATAATAAATAAAATGAAAAAAGTTTTTTGGAAAGAATTTTGTTCAATTTTTTTTTATAAATAATTGAATTCTTTTGTGAAATCTTATTAAAATAGTAGATATTGAAAATAATTGAATAAATAAAATATTAAATAAATAATTTGAAATTATAATAAATGAATTGCTCTTTAATGTTTAAATTTTATGAAAAGTGTATTTCAAATAATTGAATGTCTGTGAAAATTTTATTATTTATTTATTTTTATGAAAATAATTGGAGTTTTTGTAAATAATTTTATTAAATTTTTTTAAATGATTAAATTTCTTTTGTGAAATTTTATTTATAGATATTGAAAATAATTGAATTTTAGCGAAGAATTTCATTATTTGGGAAAATAATGTAATTCTTGCTAAAAAAATGTTCCTTCAATTTTTGAAAATAATTGAATCTTTTCAAAGAATTTTATTAAAATTTTTAAAAATAATTTCTTTATTTTAATTATTAGTAAATTTAAAGTAGTGTAAATTCTAAAAAAAGAAAAAGTTTGATAAAGAATATTTGATAAAATATATCAAAAAAATGTATAATAATAATTAATACCTTACATGTCAATTTATTTAATTAAGACAATTTTTTAAACTGAAAAGTTAATCATTATTTTTAACTTAAACCACTTGTCAAAATAAAAATAAAGACGACAGAAATAATACGTTTATATAATTTTGCCAAAGAAATTAGATTTAGAGATATTTTCCTCAAGAAACTTCAATAACACTTGTACTCATACTGATTAATTAAAAACAAATAAATTTTTATTTCTCTCAAAAGTATGCACAGTAGAGTGAATAAAAAAAAAAATATGTCAAGAATTTCAAAAAGAAAACCTCATTAATTAATGTTTATATGATGACCCATTCATAATTCTAAATCTACAGTCTTAAAGCAATTTTCATGTCATCAAATAAGCGTGGGTCAATATTTAACAAGTTCCGATAATAATTTTCTTCATTCTTTGGCTATACATATAACAATAAGGTATTATTTAAACTTCTCACACTTCGATAGAAAAAAACGTGAAGCAAGAAAGAACAAGAAAAATAGAAACGTAAAACTGCATTGGAATTCAATTAATTAACAGCACTTGAAATATTTTTACATTAAGAGCTCATCTTTAAGAAATTAATTATTCAAAACGATTACAATCATCAACACATAAAATTTATTCAAAAAAAAAAAAGAAAAAATGCAAAAGCAGATTAAAAATATTCTCAAGAAATGGCATCCTTTTTGTAATTAAAAGAGAAAAAATTTTATTCTTAAACGAAAGAAAGAAATATTTTTTGCTTCCATAATAAATTTTTTAATACTGAAATATTTCATCATTTAATCCCCTCATGGTTTTATTTTGAATTACCTTCTTTGAAAATTTATAAGTGAATTGCTGCAATTTTAATTTCTAACAATATCCACTTGCGTAGAGAAAACCGCACTGTGGTTATCAAAATCAAATAATGTATTAATTAATTAAAAAGGCATTTTCATTTATTCAAAAATGTGTAATATTAAATTTTATTCTTTCTAAAAAACCAAAAGAAAAAGATCGTTACATTTCAGGTAATAAGTGGAGTGAGATACTCGTATTATCCATTTATCCAATCACGAGTATTATGAAATTTGTTGCATAATTCTTATTTTAATGAAAATATTTAACATAAAATATTAAAAAAAAAAAATTAACCTATATGAAAATATGAGATTATGTTCTTATTGTATATCGGAGATCTATAAAAAAAAAGACCCTCGTGGACGATTGAGTTAATATTCGCTCAATTAATTAATTACCATCATATCAATTAAACGAAAATCTCATTTCAATTGTATGAATCACGCAATTTTACAATTGTTTATATTATTTAATTATGCAAATTAACTTACAAATCTAATAACTTTATTTTATTGTATAAAATAGTCTAATTTTCTTTCAATAAATATAAAAACAGACAAAAAATTATTTATTTAAATAAAATAAATTCACATTGGAAAAATAATAAATAGTTTGAATAATTAATGAACTTTTTCAGTGAATTATTTAAATTTTTTGCTTTTTGGAAAATATCGAAAGATTTTAATAATGATTCGAACTTAAATCGTTAATGACTCTACTTTAATTGCTCTTATAAATTTAAAATATTTAGTTTCAAATTTTTCTATTAAACAATCGATTCTCAATTGTCCACGAGAAAATAATCTATTTAATTGATAACTAACTTAAAGCTAAACGGAAGTTTAAGTATCAGTCACAGAATATTTCGTATCTCTACTTGGGCGTTAATTATTACTTAATTATTAAGATATACTCGCAATACTATAAAATCTCCAACGAAAAAAAAAAGAAAAAAAATATCTTACTTACTAGTAAGGCCCTTATTACAATTTATTTTCACTGGTTATCACTACGTGACACGTGGCACGTCTTTTTCGTGTACAAAAAAAAATGCGCTCTTTATATTTATAATATTTCGTTATTTTCATTATAATACTAATATTATTCATATTAATAAAATAATTTACATTTTTTTCCCCGAAATTTTTTCTTATTTTTGTTCTTAACTCGAGTTACAGAACTAAAGACGAATTCAAAACATAAAAAGTTTTCTTCGAGTTTTCTTTTGAATAATCCTCAAAAATAATTTTGTGCTTGAATTCATCGATTTGTGTTGCTTTTATAATACTAGAATTAATATCATAAATCTTAATTTTCTAGAGAGAGAAAAAAGAAAGAGAAAGAGAAAGAGAATCATTCACGGATTCCACGCAGTTGAAGAAAACTAATATAAGAATTATATTTTCAAGAGTCGGGTGTAGTGGAATATTAGTTTGCCGTTGTCTGAAGATGGGTGAAGCTTATATCTTCTACTGGATAACTTCTCGATCAAACTTTTTGTCTCAGCTTCACCATGATGTGAACTCCAGTGGATCGATAGCACCGAGATTCGAATTTTATCCCAAGGAATTGTGTCCAGCACCTGCAAAAAAATTCATGTTTTTAGATTAAATATTGTATACTTTTCTTCTCACGATGGTAATATACAAACACACATTATATCTTTTATCAAGAGTGGAAGCGTTAAGAAAATTCCATAGAAATTGAAATCGGAAAAAACAAAAAGAAATTGAAAAAAACGTAAAGATAAACAAAAATAAAATATAAAATTATTCAAAAATTAAAGAAATAATATAAACAAAAAGAACAAAAATTTTATTTGATTGAATTTTGTTGAAAATAATTAAATTCCTAAAAAAACATTTTATTATTTATGAAAATAATTCAATTCTTGCAAACGATTTACTAGAAAAGTTTAAAAATATAATATAATTTGAAAATTTAATTCTAATTACTTTTTCAGTTATGTGTCATAATAAGTATTTCTTTAAAAATTACTTAAATTAAAATGACTTGAAATTGTTTACAATAAACAGTGCAATACAACATTCCCGCGCGCTTGCGCGCGGATAATTTAGCTAGTGCCTAATTAATTTAATTCATATAAAATTACAAATCGTAAAAATTTATATTTTTAATGTAATTCCCAATTTTCGAGAAAACACTCTTAGCTAATTTCCAATTAATTTAAATTCTATTCCTCATCCCTCCGCTGATTAGAAGACACGCGGAAAAATAAATTTCAATCCCTTTAAATAGGTATTTAACTCCGAACGATTTTGTTTTCATTCGCATTCTAAAATACTAATTAAAAGAAATTGAATTGATTCGGAATGAAATAAAATGCAGTTTGGAAAAGAACACAGATTCGCTTTAATATAACATTTCGAATTGAGATTTAGATTCGAACAGAAACTATATAATTGGATCGGAAATACTTTGAAATTACCTCGAAATAATATCCATTATATTATCCTGAATAATAAAAAAAAATTAATCACCATAATTACCTGTTGTTCATCTTGAGCATCGGAACTATCCAAGCTGAGATAATCTATAAGCGTGGCGTTATACGCCAAAAGAACACTGTATAAAGGAAAGCACTTAAGTCTCGTGGTTGGAAAACTTTCATCAGGAGTGATGAGACTATTTGGCCCCTCGCCCAATTTTGTCACTTGCACCTCACTTTCTTGATGATATGGTATCTGAAATCATACAAAGGAAAACATTTAGAAAAAAATTAATTATTAATTTCATTTTCACTTGTAAATATTGACACCCCTCATTCATAAAATGCTAAATTAAACATCAATGCAAAACAATTCTTTTTGGATTGGAAAAGAAGTGCAAAATGAAGTTAACTAAAAGATTTGTGAAAGAAAATTCTATTTCAATACTTAGTGGAAATTTTCTAAATTAAAAATTCGAGTCCATAAAGAATTTTTTTCAAGTACTCAATGAAATATACTATTTTATAACACTAACTGGATTTAAAAAAAATTTTATTTTCTAAAATAATTGGTATTAATTTTGAATCAATTTTAGGTTTTAAACTTTTGTTTTATTTTAACACATAAAAACATCTTTGATTCGAAACCCCTTGGCCCTTTATACTCAAATTTGTCAACTTCTTTTACAGTGCTAGAAAGAGAAATTAACTATTCATCAAAAAACGAAAAAAATTTTGAAAAATTAGTTTTAAATATTTTTAAAACTTTATTTTCGAGTTAAACTTGTTTTTACATTTTTATGAATTTTGACAATAAAAGAATTGCCGCAGATTAGGAAAAAGAGAAAAATTAGGGGATTTTATCCAAAACTTCAATAATTGTTAAAGAAAAATTAAAAAACTTATTATTATTTATTTTTCCATACAGAAATTATAATTTCAAATAATTTCACAATGAAACACATTTTGAAATTTAATTTTTTGTAAAAATTGCAATTATAATTATTCCAAAATTCAATTATTTTTTAAAAATTTGTGAATAAAATTATAGGTACAAAACTTTAAAAATTTTTAAACAAAAATAATGTAATTAATAACTTTTAAATAAAACATTTTTATATTTTTATACTTTTGTTAGTTGCTTCCCTTAAATTTTCAAAGAATTTAATTTAAAAATCTTATTAATTCCTAAAATTCCTCTTATAACGTTTTCAATATTCAATTATTTCAATTTTTTAAAAATCATTTTCGAGAATTCAAGTATCTCCTCAAAAAAATGTTAATTACTATTTTTCAAAAACCTAATTTTTTTTTCATAATTTCCAAATTAAATCTTTCAAATTTCAATTATTTTTTAAAAATTTTTGAATAATATTATTCAAAACTTTTAATAAATTTTTTAGGAAGCTTACGAATTAATAATTTTTTATATTTAAATATTATAATACTTTTATAGCATTTAGAATTTCAAAGATTTCAATTTAAATACTTTTTAAAATTTAATTATTTCTAAAGAAATCTTATCACAATTCAACTACGAGAATTCAATGTGTGTATAATTTTGCTATTTGATTATTAGAAGAATTCTAGTAAGAATTTTTAGAAATAATTAAATTTTAAAATATTTCAGATTAAAATTTTTGGAAAATTGCATTTTTGAGTAATTTTAATGAAAAATTCTAAAGAACTTAGTTTCTCGAAAAATTTTAGTTTAAATTTTGTTGAAATTAGTTGAATTTTTTGAATATATCTTATGAAATTAGAAACTTTCACGAATAATCGAAATTTCGTAATATTGAATTAAAAACAATTAAAATTTTTGGTAAAAAATTTAAAATTATTAAAAATTATCAAAAATTCCAAAACCGAATTTCTGAAAATTCAACATTTTTTCTTCTGTTTTACTGCATTTAGCTTCATTATTTTTGTGCTCTTCAAAAATACTTTACTTATTTAATAGTCTCCACCCTTTGGTAAAAAATAAAAAATTATTAAAAATTATCAAAAATTCGAAAAACCGATTTTCTTAAAATTCAACATTTTTTCCTCTCTTTTACTGCATTTCGCTTTATTATTTTTGGGCTCTTCAAAAACACTTTACTTATTTAATAGTCTCCACCCTTTGGCAAAAAATAAAAAATTATTAAAAATTATAAAAAATTCCAAAATCGAATTTCTGAAAATTCAACATTTTTTCTTCTGTTTTACTGCATTTAGCTTCATTATTTTTGTGGTCTTTAAAAATACTTTACTTATTTAATAGTCTCCACCCTTTGGCAAAAAATCAAAAATTATCAAAAATTTGAAAAACCGAATTTCTTAAAATTAAACATTTTTTCTTCTCTTTTACTGCATTTAGCTTCATTATTTTTGGGCTCTTCAAAAACACTTTACTTATTTAATAGTCTCAACCCTTTGGCAAAAAATCAAAAATTATTAAAAATTATCAAAAATTTGAAAAACCGAATTTCTTAAAATTAAACATTTTTTCTTCTCTTTTACTGCATTTAGCTTCATTATTTTTGGGCTCTTCAAAAACACTTTACTTATTTAATAGTCTCCACCCTTTGGTAAAAAATCAAAAATTATTAAAAATTATCAAAAATTCCAAAACCGAATTTTTGAAAATTCAACATTTTTTCCTCTCTTTTACTGCATTTCGCTTCATTATTTTTGGGCTCTTCAAAAACACTTTACTTATTTAATAGTCTCCACACTTTGGTGAAAAATTTAAAATCGTGTTTTTTGAAGGAAATCAGGAAAAAGTTCGGGACTAAAAGCATTTTTTTTGCTTCCTAAAGTCGATCCAAAGCCTGATAATGTTTATATTAATGAAAAATTTTTTCAAATTTTTTTTGGAGTCAATTAAATGGTTCAATTTATATTTGCTTCAAATACTGAAATTATTGTTTCAAACTTCAAATACCTACCATTTAATTGACTCCAATAAATATTATTTGACTCCAATAAATATTATTTGATTCAACTAAATATTTAATTGATAATAGTCAATTAATCGGTTATTTAAATCAAATAAATTTTTTTTTCAGTGTTCGCAACTTTGAGATAGAATTCTCTTGCACTGAATATTAAAATAGAATTTGCTTGCACAACTTTTTTTTAGTTTTTAGAATTGTTTTGCATTGACGAAATGTCAATTTCCTGATTAACTGGACTGTTTGAAATACTTTGACATTGTTTTTCCATAATATTCTCATCAACCGATCATTCATCATGCAATACATAATTCTCTCTTCTATAAAATAATTTTAGCTTGCACTATTCGAAAAAAAAAATGTTTGCAGTGGTGTAAAATAGTTTTAGCTTACCTCTTTAGTGTCTTTGTCGGTGCTAAGACAGGCGTGAAGAACCCTTGTTTTCGGGTTTCTCTTGCTCTTTCGAACATGAAAGGAACTTCGAGGATCCGTCAGCACTATCACTCCTCTCCAATTCAGGGCCGATTCTAACCAGGTCGTTGTTGATGCTGCTCCCATCTGATATGAAAAAGAAAAAATATAATACACTTTTTAAAAAATTTCTCAATTTCACATTTATTTACAAAGTTTTTTCATACCTCGAAGAAGTTTAACAGAATAATCAGAAATATTTTTCAATTCAAATTAAAAAATTTCTACAATTTCTTGATTGACATTGATACAGAAAAGCAAAATAAAATATTTTTCAGCGTAAAAACTATTTATTTTCTAAATAGATGAAATAATTTAAATGCAAGTCTGAAATTCTCTTTTTATTATTTTAATCACAACTCCGTTGAAACTTAGAAATTTCAATATATAATTCAACGTTTGATGCTAGAAAAGTGGTTTTACTTTATTGCATTTAATTTGAAAACATTGGGTAGGATTTTAGCATCAAAGGATTTAAATTAGATTTCCAAAGTGTAGAGAAGGGTTTAAAAGTTTGTCATTTATCGCGGGAGAATTCAATAAAACTTAGAAGTATTTAATTGCTTTAATTTCAGAAATTGAATACACGATCAACAAATTTATGAAATTACTTCTCATCACGGCTCTCATAACATAATGTTTATTTATTATTCCCCTCTATCCAAAAAAAAATTTAATTTATTTTTTATTACTTAATTAATATCCAAACACGACACATTTTTTCTATAGAGGCTAATTAATTAGCAGAGGGTAAATATTGTTTTTCCTAAGTAATTTAATTTTAAAAAGCAAAGAAAAATTCATTTATAATATCAAATTATTTAATTAATATTTTATTTATTCAATTATTTTCAATATTTATTATTTTAATGAGATTTCACAAAAGAATTCAATTATTTATAAAAAAAAATGTAATAAAATTCTTTTCAAAAATTCAATAATTTTCATAAATAATAACATTTTTACATAAATTCTATTATTTAAAATACAAATTAAAAATATATATGAATTCTTAAAAAACCAAATTTTATTAAAATCCTTAAAAATAATTTACTTCTTCTGGAGAATTTCAAACAATTTAAAAAAACAAAAAACAATTCTTTCAAAAAACTGATTCTTGAAAGGAATAAATTGTTTCAAACAATTTTTTTAAATTCTCCAGAAGAAGTAAATTATTTTTAAGGATTTTGATTAAATTTGTTATTTTAAGAATTCATATATTTTTAATACAATTTTAACTAAATTCAATTCATTTAATACAATTCTTTGCAAAAATTCAATTATTTCCACAAAAACTGAATAAAATTATTCACAGAAATTCAATTATTTAAAAAAAAATTTTAATAAAATTCGTTTCAAGAATTCTATTATTTTCATAATAAAATTTTTTGCAGGACTTCAATTATTGTTAATCCAACTTGAAATAAATTCCTCGAAGAATGCAATTATTCTTAAAAATTTTTATTAAAATGCTTCGAAAGAATTCAATTTTAAGAAATAATCAATTGTCCAATAAATTATTTATTTTTGTATTTAAATAATTGAATTTTCGTAAAATTTTGTAATAGAAATTGATTTAAAAGTGAATTTTATTTAAAATTTTAGATAATAATCGAATATTAAATTAAATTTATTTTAAATTTTTATAAATAATTAAATTTCAAAAGATTTTTAAATTAAAGTCTTTGAAAATTTTAATTGTTGTAAAATTAATAATATTTCAATATTTTATTTAAAATAAATTATACATATTTTGAATAGTTTAATTTAGAAATTATGAAAAAAATTATTCTTTTAAAAAATTGTAAATAAAACTTTTTGAAAATAGTTAAATTCTCGTAAATAATTAAAAAAAAGATTTAATTGAAGAATTCAAGTAAAAAAATGGGAAAATAATTGAATTTCAGAAAAATTCAAAAAAAAAATTGAAGTTAGATAAGAAAAAAAGTTAATATTTTTTATGGAACTGAGGAAAATACAGAATCAAATTTTTGTGAATTGACTAAAATGAATTTTTTTAGGCATAAAATTTAATTTTTCGATAGATACTTTTTTCAGTCTTAAAGCTACTTTTGCTACTTTTTTAAAATTAATCATCGAATGCGAAACCTGTAGTATCAATTTTTTAATTTAATTATAAAAGTGATTGAAAGTAATTTTCTGCCTATAAATTGTTTATTAAAATTAAAATTTCTAAGTTTCGAATTCACTGAATAAAACTGAATAATTTAATTTTAATAGAAGACAGTTAATTTTTTTACGAGGATCTTGACATATTTTTTTGAAAATTCTAAACTGTTTAGATAATTTCTAAAATGTGGAATTACAATTTTAAGTGAAAATAAAACAAAACATTGAATTAATTTTTGTTAGGTAATTATAAATGTAAAAAGGGAAACTTTTTTTCGCCGACTTTTCTCTTTAAAAATGGGAACATATTTTCTAGTGACTAATTAATTTTAAAAGAAAAAAATTCTCCGTTCAATTTTTTTAAGAAAAGTAAAAAATTTGTTTAAAAACGAAGCTAAAATCATGTTTTTCTAAATAAAAAAATACGATTTCTTTTATTTAAATCAAATGTTTTCTTGATGTTGGTTTTTTAGTAATGATAATAAAAAATTAATTTTATAATGGGATAAAGAATTTAATTTCCAACAATTTAAACTATTAAAAGCTTTATGTGAATAAAAATTCTAATTTTTTGTCAATAAGAAATATTTGTTAAATATTAGGTTTATTCGTTTCTTATTGATGTAGAAAATTGTAATTTCTATTCAAATGCAACTTTTCATTGTTTAAAATGTTGGAAATTTAATTCTTTATGCTTCCACTAAGTCGAATTTTAAATTTATTAATTTATCATTTTCATATTAAAATCTATAACTAATATTTTTGCAATGAAACTGAAGTTACCATTGTTTTCGTTAACGCAAAATGTGAAAAATTTTCTTTTTCAAGACCAAGAAGCAAGTAATTTTTTATAAAAAGAACTTAATTATTATTTTCATTACAGCAAAAAAAAAAAAAAAATAAAACAAATTTTCAATCCAGTCTGGACAGGAAAGACAAAAGTTACTGAAAATTCCTTTGTTGGATTGTTCTATAAGTCAAATTTGATTTAAAAAAACCTATTTTTAAGTAAAAATTTCATTTAAATCATGATTAAAATAAAAACATGTCTTTGATTTAAATTCAGTTGCTTTAAATCATAACATTCATGTTTAAAAAAGAAAAAATTTAGTATGAAAAACTGAACATGAAAACTTACAGAAAAGAGACTTAAGAATTCGTTAATAAATAAATGTTACCCACTCGATTAATATATTCTAAATAAACTCCGTCTCGTTTCGCCTGAAGAAGTTGAGACACTGCCTTTTCCTCCTCAGTTTGTGTAACATTTAAAGAATCTTGTCTAGTTGTAACCTTCAATTGGACTTCACGAATGTATGCGACCAATTGGGGATTATCCATTGAAACACGGTCCAGCACGTAATCTCTGGTTAAATTTGCATCGAATGCCTGCCTCCTGGAACTAACAATACAATTCATTCGACAATGTTTCACTAAAATCTTAACATTTACAAAAATTCTAAAGGCATTTGAATTATTTCAAAATCAAAATATTCCTAAAATCAAAATTTAAGAAAAATGTAAAATTTTTAAAATAAAAAATTTCGAATTGAATTAACATTGTAAAAGATAAATAGGTATTCAAAATTTTATAACAAAAAAAAACCAATAAAAGTCAATTAAACTTATTTAATTTGAATCGAATTTGCTTTTCAACCAAAATATTTTAGGAAATTTTAATTTTATATCAAAAAGTGAAAAATTTGTTTAAATTACATTTCTGCATGCGAAATTTTTTCGATTTGATTCTTTTGAAATTTTTGCATTTTATCCAAGTGTCATTTGCATAAGGAAAAAAGGCGAAAAAAAAACCTTATTCGACATCATTTTCTTTTCTCCTCTCGTGAGTGTGCATTTCCATTAATCGTTTCTCTAAATTTACCATTTTTCCAGTTCTTTTTTCTAAATTAATATTTTTTGCTTGTATAATATTTTCCTCTTTCTCGTCTTTTTTTCTTCATTCTATTCTCCTTTTGTGTATTATTAAAATGAAAATATGCTACTGCTTCATTTATTTTCTTTTAGTAATTTTTTTCTCTTCGGTATTTCCATTTCATTTTTATTTTTCACTTTATTTCTATACGTGTCTTCGAGCTTGCTTTCTCATTTGAAATATTTTACATTTTTTATACACTAAAAATATGAAAATTTATTATCCGTTTGAAAGGAGTGAAAAACATTGTTTTTCTTTTTGAATGATGAATAAAAAAAGGAATATAAAAAAGAAATATGTTATACAGGAATATTTGGGTGTAGAAGGGTAAATTTTTTATAGCACTGGTTTATTCGATTGCGCACAACACTGAGGGTAAAATAGGTTCGGAAACTCGGTCAGATTAAATTATGAAGTAGCTCTCTTGCTCTGTAGCACTTTTATCTCTTGAAAAGATGAGAGCAACCCTCGACATCTTCGGTTCAAGACCAAGCAGACCCTTTTTTTGTTTTATAACTTCACTTCCGTGCTTTTAGTTAACAGAATTTTCCAGTCTTTTCTTAAATGAAAATCATTAAAAATTACATTTTAAAAAGGTAAAATAAAAAGAAAATGAATATTTCATATATCTCATGAATACAGACGACAAATTAACATTTTTTTATTTGTTTCTCGCTTTCTTCTTTCTCAATGTGTGGAAAACTCTATTTCAACAGAGTAAAGATTGTTTTAAAATTATTTTTGTAATGTATAAACTTATATTATTAATCTTAATTGCAACATTTGAAAAAAACCTACTTTTAGAAAATTGTCAATTCAAGATAAGAAATAAAAGTTATTGAAACACGAAAAGTTACTTTTATCGATAGTTCACATTTTTTTCGAAATTCAAAATCCCTGACTTTTCCAGGTTTTTCAGGTTAAAAAATGTAACATTTCCAGGTTTTTAAAACTACATTATTTGTTGACAACAAAAATATAATTTTGTTTTTCCCTGACTATTCCTAGAATTCCAGATCAAATTCTTACTTTTCCTTCACTCTAAAGAATATTTTGATTCAGTTTAAAAATTATTACTCAGAAAAATATTCTATTACTTCTTTTTTAAAAAAATATTTAATGATTATTATTACCTATTTGAAATTAAACAATTTTGAAAAATTTCTTTGAAAACTTTCAAATTTTTTTGTTTACAATTCAATTTTACGAAATTTCACAGATTATTCGGAAATTTTTCAATCAAATATATATTAGAAAATAAAAACTTCAAATAATTTCAAAAGTTCCAATAAATTTTTTTAAAAAAATTAAATCTACACAATTTTCAGTTAAAAGTATCAAATATTCAAACTTTCAAAGATTATAATTTGAAAGCTTTTCAAAATTCAATATTTACTTCTAAAATTAAATCAATGAAATTATAAATTAACTATTAAATTAGTAAAAACGACTATTTATTAGTAAAATCTTCATATTCTAAAGCAAAAATTCAGTCACTAATTCAAATTAGAAAGCATTTTTACTAATTCAAATTTAGAGTTTAATATTCAATTATTATCTAAAATTTTAACTGAAATGCATATTGAAATAAATTTTTATTAGAAAGTTTTACGAGAATTCAATTATTTAAAAATACAAAAATAAATAATTTATTGAATAATCGAATGTTTCTCAAAATTAAATTCTAATAAAGAATTTTATCAACAAATTTTTAAATAATTAAAATTCTTTTGACAAATTTTAATAAATAATTGAATCTCTGTAAAAAATTTGATTGAATTGAGAAAAGTTTTTGAAAATAATTGAAAGAATATAGCCGGATAAGTATGCAAAAAGTGCCCCCGCATGTATTTTATTTATAATTTATCCATACATTCCTACCCACTTAAAGATAACATTCTGAAAGTTTGAACTCAAAATTCGCTTTTTTGGGGGAGTTATGGAGGGGGAAAGAAAAATCAAAAAATGCGTTTTTCTCGAAAACTACTAAACCGATTTCAATGAAATTTAAATATGTTATAAATGTCAACAAAACAGTTTTAAAAAAAAATTTTCAAATTTTTTTTTCAAAAAAATCCAAAAAAATTTTTTTTTGAAATTTTCAAAAAAAAATTTTTTTTCTTTTTTTAAGAGCGACACCTGCCATTTTTGTACTATTTACTCGTTAAAGTGTCTATTTTCAGAAAAAAATTTTCCTCAATTTTTTTTTGAGGTGCGTGATAGTGAAAAAATATAAAAACCACAAGTGGGTTATGGAGTTATAGAGGGGGAACGAAAAAACAAAAAACTTATTTTTCTCAAAAACTACTGAATCGATTTTAATAAAATTTTAAGAGGTTGTAAATATAGATAAGACGATTTTAGTAAAAAAAATCAAAATTTTTTTTTCAAAAAAAGTCAAAAAAATTTTCTTTTTGATATTTTCAAAAATTTTTTTCAGGGTTATTTTTTGAAGTGAAAACTTTTTCTTTTATTGTAAAAAGTACCTTATAATGTCCCCTTTAACATATATTTTTATTAAATTTTTAAGAAATATAGTTTTTGAGTAAAATGTCAAAAACCATGGTCATGCTATTTGTCACGTACGGTAATGCACATATATGCATATGGGCATTTTTATGTGATAGGGTATAGCCGGATAAGTATAGAAAAAGTGACCCAAATATATTTTTCCTATTCATTCTACCCACAAAATAACTTTTTGAAATTTTTAACTCAAAATTTTGAGTTTTTTGAACTTATGGAGAGAAAAAATCAAAAAACGCATTTTTCTCTAAAACTATTGTATGCATTTTTATCAGTTTTGGATTTGTTGAAAAGACAATTAAAGAGATCAAAAAAAAAATTTCAAAATTTTTTTCAAAAAATCCAAAAAAACTGTTTTTCAAAAAATCCAAAAAAACTGTTTTTTAAAAAATTAAAAAAAATTTTTTTGGTTCTATTAAAGTGACATTTTTATGTATTTTCTCATTTCAGTCTCTTATGTGATCTACTTAATAAAAAAATTTTTCCTGACATGATTTCAGTGTGTGTCACGGTGAAAAACCAGATAAAAATGTACCGGGTAGGGTTTTTGAGTTATTTACTGTTACACACACTGAAATCATGTCAGGCAAAATTTTTTCATTAAGTAGATCACATAAGAGACTGAAATGAGAAAATACATAAAAATGTCACTTTAATAGAACCAAAAAAATTTTTTTTTAATTTTTTAAAAAAGTTTTTTGGAATTTTTTAAAAAAAATTTTGAAATTTTTTTTTGATCTCTTTAATTGTCTTTTCAACAAATCCAAAGCTGATAAAAATGCATACAATAGTTTTAGAGAAAAATGCGTTTTTTGATTTTTTTCCTCCATAAGTTCAAAAAACTCAAAATTTTGAGTTAAAAATTTCAAAAAGTTATTTTGTGGGTAGGAATGAATAGGAAAAATATATTTGGGTCACTTTTTCCATAGTTATCCGGCTATACCCTAACACATGAAATTGCCCATATGCATATATGTGCATTACCGTACGTGACAAATAGCATGACCATGGTTTTTGCCATTTAATCAAAAACTGTATTTTTTAAAAATTTGGAAAAAATATATGTTAAAGGGGACATTATAAGGTACTTTTTACAATAAAGGAGAAAGTGGTCACTTAAAAAAATAACCCTGAAAAAATTTTTTAAAAATTTGAAAAGATTTTTTAAGCTGTACATTGTACCCACTTGCGGTTTTTATTTTTTTTCACTATCACGCACCTCAAAAAAAAATTGGGAAAAATTTTTTTCTGAAAAAAAACACTTTAACGAGTAAATAGTAAAAAAATGGCGGGTGTCGCTCTTAGAAAAAGAAAAAGAAATTTTTTTTTGAAAATTTCAAAAAAAAAATTTTTTTGGATTTTTTTGAAAAAAAATTTAAAAATTTTTTTTTTAAACTGTTTTGTTGACATTTATAACATATTTAAATTTCATTAAAATCGGTTTAGTAGTTTTCGAGAAAAACGCATTTTTTGATTTTTCTTTCCCCCTCCATAACTCCCCCAAAAAAGCGAATTTTGAGTTCAAAATTTCAGAATGTTATCTTTAAGTGGGTAGGAATGTATGGATAAATTATGAATAAAATACATGCGGGGGCACTTTTTGCATACTTATCCGGCTATACCCTTTTGCGAAGAATTTTATTAAAATTTTTGAAAATAATTCAAATTTTGCCAAGAATTTTATTAAAATTTTTGAAAATAATTGAAATTTTGCCAAGAATTTTATTAAAATTTTCCAAAATAATTGAATTCTGAAAAAGAATTTTATTTATTTATAAAGATAATTTAAATTTTTACGAGAATTTTTTTAAACTTTTAACTAGAATTGAATGTTTTTGATGAATTTTATTCCTTTTGAAAATAATTGAATTCTTGAGACGAATTTTTAATAATATATTTCTTTTTAAAATAATTTGAATTAAATTAAAAATTAAAAATGTATTGACAATAATAATTAAATGCTAATAAATAAATTATAGAAAAGCTTTTTAAAATAATTGAATTTCTATGATGAATGTTAATAAAATTATTAAGGATAATTACATTTTTCAAGAAATTTCATTAAAATTGTATTCAAAATAATTGAAATTCTGCGATGATTTTTAATTATGTTATTATTTATGAAAATATCTAATTGAATTATTGTGAAGAAATTTATAAAAAATTTGTAAATAATAGAATTCCTGTGAAATTTTTATTATTTAATTCATTCAAAATTGAATCTAAAATTTCGAATTAAAACCCTTTAAAAAATCCAACTTTGGAATATTTTTAACTTTAAATTATTTTATTCAATCCATAGTTCTGAAAATAAGCTTTTCTTATTTAAATAAATTTGTTAATTAACAAAATATTGCAAACATGTTTATTATTTATTTGAAGTGTCTTATTTCTTGAGTTGAATGCAAAAACAAAATTTGTTATAATCATTAATTTTCTTATTTCAATTGGTTCTCATAGAAAATTTTCTAAAGTAATAAATCGATGAAAATAATTAAAAGAATACTTTTAAAATATAGAAAGATTTGTCAGTAACATGAAATCGACCGGTTATGTAGATTAACGCATATTTTAATTTATGTTGAAACATAAATTTGAACCTTTAATTAATTTAAATGATTGCTTCTCACACATCACTGAAAATTTCCTGAAAGTTGAAATTAATTATTGACTGCAACCTTCTGAATCTTTAGTCCCAAAACTTCTGAAACTTGAAATAAATTTTTTAAAAAAATTTCTAAGTTTTTTTGAAAAACTTTTTTAAAGTTTCTTTAAACTTTCTTTTTTTGTTAAAAAATTCTCTTAAATTTTTGAAGTAATTTAAACTTTCTTGCAATGTTGAGTTGATTTTTGCGGACAACATTGAAAAACTGCTGATATTTGAAGATTTATTTCAAGTTTCATGAGCTTCTCGAGACTAAAGATTCAGAAGGTTGCAGTCAAGTTGATTTCAACTTTCAGAAAATTTTCCATGCTGTATAGGTTGAAATGTTAGTGGTTTTTTCCTTTAAAACAAAAATTTAAAAATTGTCCATGTTTACAATTATTTTCCATTTTAGTGATTTTTTGAATATATTTATTACACTCACCTAAATTCGGCGACTTGATTCCAAATAAACAGCATGGCTAAAATAGTCGAAAATGGAGCGAGGCATGCTAGATAAGGAATAATCTTCCGTTTCCAAGATTTTTTCTTACATCCTATAGTGCTTTTTGGTAAAGAACTTCCTGGAACACGTGGCATCGATATGGATGGTAATGCACCAGCCGGAGGGATTCTGCAATAAAAAAGATAAATTTGTCTTTTAAAAAAAATCAGTAAAAAAGAAGAAAACAAATTTTTGTCAATAATTTATTACAATAATTTATGACAATTATTAATTTTCTACGTATCTATAATTATTTATAGAATATTTCTATAATATTTCTATTCTGAAGAGGTTGCTATTTATCAATGATTTATTATAAACTCACTGTGCGGTTATTATATTCAAACACTATTCGGTAATTATATAGCAATTAAAAGCAAATAATTGAATTGCCCATATAAATTTTATAATTTTCTTGTTGATATAAATTCGTGAGAAAATGTATTATAAGAGAGACGGGCGTTTTGTGTGCGAATTACTCTATACACGTCGAGTTTGTTTTGAATTCGAGTTCTCAAACTCTAGTAGACACAGTTATTATCCCCTGCCTGTAATGCTCTGTTTTAATTTAACGCTTTAATTAAATCGCCTCTGCTTCAACCTACTTTTATGCGTTTATCACGAGAGAGTGTATGAGAGGTGTTTAAATAGATTTTTATTGCAAAAGTAGTCTTTCTTTTCCGTTTTACTTCTATTTTATAAAGACAAAAAAAAATTCCAAGATTTTTACCTTAATCGTTTAGCTATTTTTATTAATTTTTATTTTAATTAACATTTTTTTTACTTAGTCTATTTATAAGTGCTTTGCACTTAATTTTGCCCGTCTCTGTAGAGACAAGAAAGATATCAAGAAAGATAGGTATACCTGAGAAGCAAACAAATTATAGGTTATGTTTGACTTACATTTAACTTGATTAAAATTTCCTTTTTAATTATATAAATTTGAAAACAGTTTTTATTGAACATTTTGCATATACTAAAGACTTGAACATCAATAATTTGTAGTAAGTAATTGATTCTATTTCTGTATTTTTACTCCAAAACTTATAAACATAACCTAAAATTTTGTAAAAAAATTTCCAGATTTTTTAGTCATAAGTAAAAAAATTTGCATACTCAGAGTGTTCACAAATTTCAGTTTATCAATTTCCCTGACATTTCCCTGACAATTTATTGACATTAAAATTATTTTCCCTGACAAAATTCTTTTCACAGGAAAATATGAGAGTTTACGGAAAATGAGTAAAATTTATGAAATTTAACAATTTCTAAAAATTATATTTATAATTCTTCCTGAATTCAATTATTTTCTATAATTTTCAACAATACTTCATTTCTAAATCAATAGTTTAAAATAATTTTCCGAAAGTTCTTCGAGAATTAAATTATTTTAATACGACCATGATTTCTCCCAAATTTTAATAAGTCCAAAAAAGTAAATTTTTATTTGCTTTATTCGAAGATAATTAAATCTTAAAAAATTATGATAAATTCTAAGAATTATGTATTAGTTTTTAAAAATATTTTAATGTAATTTTTCGAAAACAATTGAATTTCTTAAAAGAGTTTTTGTAAGTATTATTTAAAAAAACGAATTCATTTTTTTGATGAATTTTAATAAAATATTTTAAACATGATTTTTTTCTCCAAAATGTTAAAAATAATTCTAAAATATTATTTTTTGTATGTTTTAAATTTTCGGAAATAAGTAATTGAAAATACTAAATTTTTAAAAAATAAAAGCTAATTTTCATTGATTTTCATTTTTAAATTTACATTTTTAAATATTTTTCATTAAAATTTTTGATAATTCAATAATTTTTATATTGAAAATAAAACTGAGAAGTTCAAAAGATTTTTACAGAGTGAAGAAAAGAAATTTTCATAATTTTTATTTGTCAATTATATTTTTTTGTTAAAAAATTTTTAGTTTCTCTTGGAAAAAGAATTTATATGCCTAATTTTTCTGTTTTTTAAAGACAATTTTTAACGAAATTAGAATTTTTTTTAAAAGTTAATGAAAAAAATGTGCATAATTTCTAAATTATTTTTCATTTTTTGAAAAAGAAGAGAAAAGAAATAAATTTGGACCATTTTTTTATATTTCTCCATCACAATTTTTTAACAAAATCTCAAGTATAATTTTTTAAAAAAATTTAAAAAATCTATATATAATTTCTATTTTTTACTTGAAAATTAAAATTGGAAATTTTAAGTTTTAAAACATAATTGGAAAAAAGTTTCGTAATTTTTATTTGTCAATCATATTGTTTTTACCCAAATTTTCAGTATTTTTTCCATAATTTCTATTTCTTTATTACAATTTTTTAACAAAATCTCAAAATTATTTTTTATAATAAGGTATTAAATTAAGAAGAATTTAGTATTTTCTTATTAACTGACCTGATGCTGTATTTTGTACTATTATTTATTTTTTAATAATTCTAAAAACCGGTTTATTAATTTAAAACAATTATTGATTTTTTTTTGTGATTTCTATAAATTATTGACTTTATTTGTTTTCTTTGTTGTACCAAGTTTTGAAATAAAGTACAAATTATTATAAACATTTACTAAGCAGAAAATCAGCATTCCTTTCTCTTTATTTTTAATGAAAACTTGGAATATTGTTTGAAAAATTGACAGTGTGAAAGAGAAATAAATTAAATGCTACTTTTCCTTTTTTTAAAAAATATAATTTTGTAATAATGTAAAAATAATACTTGACAAATCAAGATCATACAAATTTTTTTCATTTTTTTCTATAAAAAAATTTAAATTTTATTAAAAACCTTTTTTGACAAATTGAAATTATTATATTCATTTCTGAAAAAAATTCGAAAATTATTTAACAGAATATTAAATATTATTTAAAAAAAAGAAAAAAAAATTTGAATATTTTATTTTTTAACGAAAAAATGGACATAATTTATATTTAATAATAACAATGTTTATAGTTATGTTGTGTTTGTACTGAAATAAGTCTGATTTTTCTTCACAAAGATTAAAAGTTCACTGATAATAAATGTTTTTGGTACAATTAACTAATTTTTCTTAAATTACTTTTTTAAATTTAATAATAAAAATAAACGAAAACATAAATTATATAGTTTTAATTAATTATCAATTGTAGTCATTCAATAAAGAACGTATCTAATGCTGTATTTTTAATAAAATTAATGAATTAAAATAAAAAAATTTAATTAATTTATTTTATTTATTACTATTAATAACATTATTACTAGAAACACGAATTAATTAGACGTAATTTACTTAGGAACGCATAAATTTAGCTCTTTTCAGCAAAACATCGTTGCAAATGAATATTGAAATGAAGATTGTACTATGGGTATGGTATGGAATGAGAACCAGTGGCTTGATTCCTTTGAAAACCACCTGTGCTGTCGCCTGGAAAAGCTAAATGTGCATATTATGGGTTATTAAACCGAGCAGACACTTGTTCAACAATCAGTCAGCTTCCTGCATTGTGCTATGATATAAGAACAAAGGATTCTCGCACCACAAGTGCCTAAACATGATCTCACTCAAATGCACATATTATTATTACTCTGTTATTATTGTTTGCATATATTAGTATTCCATCTACTTTTCTACTTCTACTTTACTGAAAAATTGACAATTTCAGAATTTGCGAATTGAAAAGCAACTTTCTAATCTTGAAGAATGTTTATTTTGTTGTAATACTTCAGTTTATAACATATACAATAAAGAAATGTGAATACATAATCGGAAATTCTCTTGGAAATTCTTTACATATTTCTCTGTATATGGGATTACACGTTTCCTAGCGATTCCATGGACAAAGGAATCACAACACATAAATTTTTATCTTTTCTTAAATGCTTTACGGAAGAAAACCTTTGTGCTTTGCCGCTCTCTCTTGTAAATTTCATTCCACAATACAATATTTTTCTGAGACAATTTTAAATTTTTCCAAATAAATTAATTCAAAAGATTCTTTTTCTTTGCGATTCTTTCTATTTTTCTGTAAAGTAATTTTACATTTTTCAATAAATTAAATTCCAAATTATTTTTTAATTTCAATTTTTTCACAATTATGTTTATAATCAAAATAATGAAAGAAAAAATTATTTGAGATTTTTGCTTAAATTACTTACTAAATTAACCAGTTTTTTTAATTCGTAGAATTCTTTTATGTAAACGAATTTTTATTTGAGGAGCAAGTTTTCAAAAGCTGACAAATCAATTTTTTTTAAATGAAAATATTTTATTTAATGTGGAATTTTAATTTGGTCGAATGTTTATTTCTATACATTTGTCATAAAATAAAACTCTAAAAATGTAGAAATATCAATTGTTGAGAATTTCATTTCTCTAAACAAAAATTTTTACAGAAAAATGTAAAAATTGAAAACATTTTTTCTTCTAAATTATTGATTATAATCATTATGAACTTCACGAACGTAATTTTTTCAATAAATTGATTGTTCAGTCTTTGTATTTTTTTTGTTATGAAATATAGAGACTTGTCAAATACATTTCACTTTTATAATTTAGCTTTGTCAACAAATTGTGTTTTTTTGTAGAGCAAACAATAATTTTGTTGTTTCAAAATTTTCCCAAAGTTTTAAAGTCCAAATGAACTAAATTTGTTTTCTATTTAAATATTTTTAAAAATACTATACAAAAAAAAGGATGAAAATTAAATATTTACTTATTCAAGAATTGATTTTTTTAATATACAATTATTAATTATTTCTTTTTATAAAAAAATACAAAATAAAGGGACTACATTTTTAACTATAACAAGAAAATGATTTAAATCTTCCATAAAATTATTTTTATAATAATTTTTATAGAGGAAATCAATAGTCAGAAAATAAAATCGTTAAAAAAATATTCTGATCCTTTTTGGATTTTTATTTTTCTTAAAAATTAATAGATTTCAAAATCCATCCGTAATTTGGTAGAAAATGTGTTTTTGTATTCACAAAAAAATTTGTCGAATGAAAAGAATGATTTTTATTATTTTTGAAGCTATAAAAAAAAAAAAGAAAATACACGGAGACAACTATAAAGTAACTTTTACTATTTTTATAGTAAAACATTTCTGGCAACTTTTACTACTTTCGGAGTAAATTTTGCTACGTTCGAAGTAAATTTTACTTCGTTCAAAGAATATATTTGTAAAAAATTAGTAAAATTTACTTCGAACGTAGCAAAATTTACTCCGAAAGTATAGTAAAAGTTACCAGAATTGTTTTACTAGAAAAGTAGTAAAAGTTAATTCATATTTTTTTCCGTGTAGGTTGAAAATTCTAAAAAAAAGAAATTGTTATTCAATTGTTATATATGGAAATTCACTTGTTTATTTTTCTAACTATTTTCAAATCAAAATTTTATCATAATTTTTTTGTATTTTATACTTTTTATTTAAGAAAATTATGATTTTTTAAATAATTAGAAAAAATAAACAAGTGAATTTTCATATAAAAAAAATTGAATAACAATGATTTTTATAGCATTTTCAACCTAAAAACAATGTTTTTTTTTAAATAAAAATGCTTCTAAAATAATAAAAAATCATTTTTTCATTCGGCAATTTTTTTTTCTCTCCGTGTAACAATACAATGAAAAAAAATTTATTTTATTCAAATAACTATTTAATTGACTATTATCAAGTAAATATCTACTTGAGACAAATAATATTTATTGGAGTCAATTAAATCGTATTTGAACCAATAATTTCAGTATTCGAAGCAAATATGAATTGAACCATTTAATTGACTCGAATAAATATTATTTGATTCAATTAAATATTTAATTGATAATAGTCAAGTAATCGGTTATTTGAGTCAAATAAACTTTTTTTTCAGTGTATAAATTTATTAATTTTTTATGGAACATAATAATAGTAATAATGAATCAAAACGCTTAATAATTAGTTTTAATTTTGAAAGTTTATTTTTCTGCTTCTATATAGGCAAAATAGAATTCTATTTTAAAAATATGAAAACTGTCTCATAAATGTGCAAATAGCAAAAAGTCATGTGCAGAAACATTTTGTTTTTGCTTTTGCATACATCAGAGAAAATTATAATTTTTCCCGCCAAGGGCCTGCTGTTACTTAATTCTTAGTTTTTACTGCATTAAGTGTGCGATTAAGAAATTGCAAATAAGTACGATATTCATGTGTCTTGCATAACCAAACAGTTTGCAAGGTCATATATGTAAGTTTGTTAGAAAGTAAACTAATCGAAAATTGACATTAATTTTACTTATGATATTAAATAGTGTATTTGAAGCACCTTACAAAATTTCAAGTTGTAATTAAATTCAAATCCAATCAGAAAATTCTATTCTAAATTATTATTAAGTTACAAAAAATACAAATTTTGTTGAGGTTTTTTTAGAAGTGATTTGAATTTGAAAAAGTTGTGACTTAAGTTTGCAGGAGCATTTCAACTGCACTAAAGATAGCAAAGCATGTTTTTGTTCTTTTTAAATGCAACTTACTTTTTACTGTCCTTTGTCTGATCCATCTTCATTTCTCTTCCAGTATGCCACCTCTGAAATCAGCGTGGATCTTCGAATGCCTCTTCTCTTCGCAAAGAAATTTCAATTCCATACACAAAATGTAAAATTCCAATAATTCTGCGAACAACTATATTTCTCTTAAGGCACCACAAGTTTCACTTAAAATTTTGAACCCAATTTTCCCAGCAATAGTTGCATAAATCCTTGATTGATCCTTCTTCGCGAGAAAATCGATTTTTGTATTTTGAAAACACTCATCAGACTCGACTCGAAAAAACCTCGTCATCGAAAGAAAAGAAGAAAGAAACGATCTCTTTATTGTTTATAAGAAGTAATAAGTAATATGGAGTTGCAGCCGCACAAGTATCCGCATTGCACGCGGGTCTACTATTGTGGAGTATCGTCTGGTCTTGTGGGTCGTATCCGTGGTGACTCACATGCCTCACACACCGACACACTCGACCAACACACTTTGACCACTTTGGCGAATAGAAGCGAAACGAGAAGAGAAAAAAAAGTATCACACACGTGCCGAGCCTGAGGCAACAAAACAAAAAGGATAAAGTTAATTTTTACACACTGGGTGAAAATCGACACTCACGATATGGAGGAGGAAATTTTGAGTGTGCTGCAGTTGAATATTCGAGAGGGGGAAGAAGAAAAAATACAATATATGTGTTAGTGTGTTTAGCTTCACTCAGTGTAAGTCTCTCGTGTGCGACTGGCTTTCAGCTTTCAACAGCACCTGGAACCATGCCTGGAACGCATGACGGCTGCGACGACGAGTACAATGCCTCCTATATCGGGTGTCTTTCTTTAAACTTAAAGTTTATAGATCCTTCCCTATCCATCCCCCTTAAAGGTTTCAATTTTCCTCTCACTCACCTCACTTTTAACAGGACACCGAGGAAGGTCTCTCTCTCCTATTGGCCGAGCCGAGCACAGGTAAATGCAGAGGCTCTCATTTTTCAGCAGGTATCACACAAAGAGTCAGAGAGAGAGGTAGAAGTGGTAAGAGAATCGATCACTTATATGATATACGCCTTTGCTTTCCTAACGGTTATTGATCCTGGAACATAAAATTTACGTTAATTCTGTATTCTATTCTAGGACATGCACTTGCCAAGAGGTCGGATAGGTCTATACTCTATATTGAGTCATGAACCTGAGTTATTTACGGGTTTTCGAGTTATTACATGCTTCTCCAACATGTGAATTTTATTGATATATATTTTATAAGTACTCTGCTACAACATGTGTGAGAGTAGATTAATAATAATTTCTGATTTTTGGATAGCGTACAATTTTTTTTGGTGTTTATAGTTTTGCTAGAATAGCTGCAAAATTATATAGATACTAAAGGTTTTTAAATTAAAGTGCATCGAGAAAAATATTAAGTAACTTTTACTACTTTCATATAGTAAAACCTAAACTGTCAGAAACTTCTGCGCATTTCTGGTAACTTTTACTATACATTCGGAGTAAATTTTGCTAATTCTTTACAAATATGTCCTTTGAACGTAGTAAAATTTACTTCGAATTTAGCAAAATTTACTCCGAAAGTAGTAAAAGTTGCCAAAAAATGCGCAGAAGTTGCAGACCTTTTAAAAATGAATTAATTAACACTTAAATAATTAAAATATTAGTATTAATGGTATTGTCTAGTAAAACAAAAATAAAATTGACAATCAAAAAATGTATTTGTTTGTACTATTTACATATGATCCAAATTTTTGTCATATCGCTTCTATAGAATTTTTTAAAAATTATTCGATTTTAATGTATATTATTTGTCTTATGTTTTTCAAAGAATTATTCTCTATACAAAGTCATCGTTATTTTTAAACAAGCACACTCTTTAATTCTAGACCATAATCATTCACAAATATTCAGTATTTTCTTTAAATTCTAAAAAAATAATGCCTTACTCTGTAAATTTTTCAAAGAATATAAATTGCAAATTCGTTGTTTCCGTTCATTTGTTTTATCAATTAACCATTCTTTTAGGAAAATATAGAACCTCTTGATTGTTATAAATTTAAGATATTTATATAAAATAATATCTCACTCTTCTGGTAATGCAACAAATTTTAAATCTGTCATTATTACTTATTTTATTTCTAGATGACATTTTTCTTATTTCACAATAACAAAGAGGTACATATTTCACAAAAGTGTGATTAATGAATAGAAACGACAAATTTGCAATTTATATTCATTGAAAATTTTACAGAGCAAGACATTTTTTTAGAATTTAAAGAAAATTCTGAATGATGACTTTGGTCTAGAATTAAAAAGTGGAATTTGTAATTCATATTGTAAAACCATCAAATCTAAAAAAAAAATTTCTTTAATTGGCGTTTGCTTGAACTCAAGTTATCGAAATCGCAATTTTCACAAAAAAAAATCTCCAACTTTAAAGAACTTTATTTTCATATTAAAATGATTAAATTAGTTATACCTTGTTCCAAATCTCTAACTTTAAAGAACTTTATTTTCATATTAAAATTATTAAATTGGTTATACCTTGTTCCATTTGACTCTAAATTTATTGAACTTTTAAATGACCCTAATTTGATAGCTTTTACATTTATTTTTACAGAAATATTTGAATTTGAAGTGAAGCGAGCATTAAAAGTAATCAGTCCAAATGTATTAAAACTTTGCGACCCGAGTTTAATAAATTATATAAAGAAATAAATGTTTTGATTGTCAAAATTTTTTTTTTGAAAATTAATACTTCTGTTTTTTTTAAAGTAGACCCAAAAAGATGTGAACAAAATTGCATTTGAGAGGATATTAACATCATTCGGTAGGAATTTATCAAAGGTGGAAGAAGTTAGCAATCTCTCTGAATCAATTTTTCTTTGAAGCTCTTATTTTCATGTATGGACAGTACAAGTATCCTTACACAGAAATCGGCTTTTTCTGAAAAATATTTTTGAAATTAATTCATAATTTCTGAATTATCAAAGAGCTTAGAAAAAACGGGGATATGGTGGGAAACGAACCCACTACCTTTCTATATTGCTCAGTGCACTCTATCGACAATAGAAAGGTCGTGGGTTCGTTTCCCATCATACGCACCTTTTTTCTGAGTTCTTTGATAATTTAGAAATTATTAATTTCGAAAGTATTTTTCATAAAAAACAGGTATCTGTAGAAGGACAGTTGTTCTGTCGATACATGGAATTGAGAGCTTCAAAGAAATATTGATTCGAAGAGATTGCGAACTTCTTCCACCTTTGATTTAGGATTTTTGTTTCAAATTTTCTACTCTGCTCTTATTTTTTTCAAAGAAATCCCAAAAAATGGCGCTTTCCCCTTAAATTCTAAAATTATGGACCTAGGTAGTAAATTTTCATTTACGTTTATTGGTAAAACCACGGTTTCTGTACACGGAATTAACAACAAATATACAAAGTCTGATTAAAAAATTTAGCAAATACCTTTAGGTACAACTTTAGAGGAACCAAATAGGTTAAAATACTTATTGTGATGAGAATAAATTCAAAAAATATACTTAAAAGTTGAAATTTTCTTTTACGTAAAAATTTACAAATGGACATCACAAAAATGAACAGAATGTCACATAACTATGGACATTTATTTAGAGTGATAAGACCCTTCTATAGTTAAAACTAGAATCCTCTAACTATTTCCGTTCAAAAGATAATGAATTTTAACTGTTTTGACTGTTTAACATTTAGCTCCAGTCTCCCTACTCTAAAGCATTAGTAAATGTCTTTTCATGTACAGCCAACCATTCTTCTTTTTAACTATTTCTCCGTAGATAAAGTAGGGTTGTTGTAACTTCTAATAATTCAGGCCAATTTCCTATTGGTAATCGTATGTAATACTAAGTTTAGTAATCTCGCAGGAACCCGCCAGCAGTTAACCAGTTCATCCATGATCTTGTCAGGGCGTAACGCAGTAAAAGCTCCCTTCAGGTCCAAGGCAAACAGCGCAGCCCCTCTTTTTTTATAAAAACCCGCCATAACATCAGTGGCAAGTATTGCCGTGCAGTCCAGGGTAGAGTGATTTCTCCTAAATCTAAATTGAAACGATGGAACAAGTCTTTTATTTTCAATAGTGTTCCAGCCGACGTTGGACGAGTCTTTCGATGAGCTTTCCAGCATTGGATGTAAGGGAGATAGAGCGATATCCCTTATTCCCTGGTTTTGGAATAAATTTGATAAGGGCATTTCTCCAAGGATTCGGGAACTTGGACGTTTCAAAACATTCGTTAAAAATTTACCTCATGCATTCCAAACTCTCCTGTTGCAGTTTTCCTAATGCATCATAAGTATAGTTTGATCAAGTCCTCTTTCGAAAAAGGAGCGTTAAATGGGTTAGATTCTTCCTGGGGTGTTATCATAAGTATTCTTGTTGGTACAGGTGTACGGTCCTTTCCCATAAGATCATTCTTGAAGTCGAAAAATTCTTTGCATTGTGGATCACTAGATGCATTCACCAAGAGTGTCCATTTTCCTTGGAACGCCTTAACTAAACCCCATATTCTTTTTGAACCCATAAGAGGGTTTATCGATTGTCATAATTCCTTAAATGAATTGCTCTTAGCTTCCTTTAGAACTTTGTTCGCTTTTTTCTTCTTCTTTAAGACTTCCTCGCATTCCACCAAGCCGGCTTTAGCGTCGTTTGCTTCTTTGTTTTGTTAGGAACGTATGCTCCTGCTATCATAAGATTGTCAATTAAGTCCCCCGAAAATGTATCATATCTTTCTACGGAAACTGAAGCCGAATCATATCCTGTGTTATGAAGAAACTTTTTTGTTAGATCGCCGAAAAGGATCCAGCCAATGAGCTTTGCAAGTTCCTCAATTTTGCAATTTTTATACTGTGTCTGGTTTCGAGAATTCCGAGTACCCTGATAGTCCTCCCTCTTTAAATTCTAGCTCGAGTAGTTCTTTTTTTGGGGAGGGGCTCTCTAGTTTAAATGAGCCTTTATTCCTGAAGATTTACCTTTCGTATTTAGGCTGCTATTCGATTGATGTTGAGATGTTTTAGAAATATCTTTTCCTGACTGACTGTTTTCTCTTCAGGAGCGCCATTTACAAGTAGTTTTAACAGCTGTTGATAATTTAATTTATTTAACCAACTGTTGATCTGTTCTATTCAAGACCATTTCAATTCAAATCACCTTCCAGTTTTACTAAAGGCGGATACAGCACCCGATCATATTCCCCAACTACACACACCTCTCCATTCTTCAAATGAGTGTCTTTACCCCGGACAAGAAAGCATGGCTCACTCGTCTCTGGTCATACTCAAAGTGAGACCTATCGGGGCACAGATACTTCTCAAGAGTATCATTCAAATCAGCTAGGCCATGGTTTCGAGATCTCAACCTTCCGAGGAGTTAAATAAATCACTGACAAGTGAGCACCTTGCAAGAATCAACTGGTTCGGAGCGGCATGCTGCGATTGTGGGTGGTAAAGAACGTCGATCTATGAATCATGTCTTAAACAGCCTAAATATCGGAAAACTGATCGCACAAGTAATCAAGGGAAATGGAAGAATTATTATAAGTGGCCGAAATCAAATTGAAATTTGGTGCAAAGAGAAGAAAGATGCAAAGTGCCTACTCGCATCGGAATATTTAGTTAAACGGGCTTATAAAACTTTTATCCTGGAAACACTGTTATACAAGAAGGGTTTTATCAAGATTTTACCAGAACACTCTGCTTCAGATGTAATGGAGAATGTAGATGGGGAACAAAGGGACTTAATTATGTATCAGTACGCAGGAGGAGAAACAGGAAGGATGTTCAACATTTGGATACTATTGATCTAGTATTCAACTCCCTGTTTGTACCTAGATCTTTATTTGCTGGAGCGTAAGAATTTTTATTACACTTCTCTTCCAACCCCCAAAAGGTGCTTTAATTGTCAACACCTTGGATATGTCACGTAATAATGCAAAGCCACTTCAGCAAACTGTGAACACTGCGCAGGTAGACACATTACGAATCAATGTAATGTTCCTCGATCTACCAGCAAATAACAGCAATATCCAGCAAGTAACTATGGTTCTGAACGACTGAACTT